TGCTACTGCTACTGCTACTGCTACTGCTACTGCTACTGCTACTGCTACTGCTACTGCTACTGCTACTGCTACTGCTACTGCTACTGCTGCTACTGCTACTGCTACTGCTACTGCTACTGCTACTGCTGCTGCTGCTACTGCTACTGCTACTGCTACTGCTACTGCTACTGCTACTGCTACTGCTACTGCTACTGCTACTGCTACTACTACTACTATCACTACGGCTACTACGTTGCATGAATACGCAGTTGGATACTAGTGATAATAAGAAACACACCTGGGCAGGTGAGGCGGATCGTGGCTCAGTAACATTCGGGGAGTATCTGTGTCTGCGTGCCACCGTTCCCGTTTTTGAACCCTTGATGACATGCTTTCCCAACCTCTCGTTTGCCTGAAGAAGACAACCACGAATGACATAGTGTTCGTCAAGTGTTAGCTAACGGATTGTGAAAAAAGGATAGAAAGACAAAATAAGAGGGAGTTAGAGACAGTAGCAGAGAGAAAGTAAAACAGAAAGTGAAAGTAAAAGGGAGAGAGCATGCGAGAAAAAGAGAGCATGTGCACACATAGCCGATGGAGAGAGACACACAAAGACAGAAACAGAGCGAGAAAAAGAGAGAGAGAGAGAGAGAGAGAGGAAGAGAGATATGGGAGCGGGAGAGAAGTGAGTGAGAGAGCAAGGTGAATTTGTGTGCGTTAACCTTAACATTTAATGTTGTGAAAAATATTTACCTGCAGTATCACATCATGATGCAGGCTGGCCTCCTCTCCCTTATTGCCTTCCTGTGCAAACAACGCAGAGGGATGGGGAAGAACCTCCCCCTCCTCTTCCTCCACCTCCTCCTGTCTACGCTCCATAGATTCATACGCCCACCCCAAGTTATGTCTCCTGGACAGTTCCCATGCCGCTGAGTTAGATGACACCATCTCCTCCATCAGAAGGCTTGTACTAGCCGTTTCAAAATCGTGCACTAGGGGTAGTCTAAATGCGTCCTCGATTGTCGCCATGCCATCGTCTCCCACCAGAGGGCAGTCCGGGGCCGGGGGCGACGCGCACACTGCAGCCTCGCCAAGCACGTCCTGCGCGGTCTGCAGTGTAAACGTAGGGGGCGCTGGCAGCCCGCGCTGACTCCCAAAAAGAGCGCCCCCTAGCGGTAAAAACCCGCTGTCGACGGGGTCTGTGGAGATGACCGGTTGCAGGTCACTGCAGACTGTGTCGCCCGTCAACGAACCCGCATCCCACGCCAACTCGTTCTCCTTACCAGCGCCCCCTGGTGAGTGCCAATAGTTTGCCGACGTCCCTCCGAGGCTGCTGTGTTGACGGCTCACCGTCTTCATGCCGCCGCCCGGAGAAATCTTCATGTTTAACTGGTTTATCAGCAGCGACCGTAAGTGAGGCTGCTCGACGGAGCCGGGATCGTCCGCGTCTGTTGCCATGACGACGTTGACCTGCCTCTGATCGAGACTCTTGATGGCAGGAGCGGGCGAGTTGCTACGCGCCGTCGCGTGATCAGGCTGCAGCGAGACGCCGCCGTGTATAGATGGCGCACCGAACGGCCAGTCGCGAACGTACTCGCCGCCATCCCCATCAACGACCTCGGGAAAGTTGGAGGTGGCGCCGGCAAAGGCCTCCGTTCGCCCGGGCGCAGAGTCTTGAGACAGGGGACCACCGCCGCACAGCTCTGATGCCTGGCTGCCGAGTGTGGGGAAACTGAACGTGTCGACGCTGGTGGCGGTGTCAGTCTGAGACGCGCGCGCCGCCGCGTCGTCAGACGATCGAAACTCGCGCGGCTCTGTGTCGATGTCGCTACCATCGAGAGATGCAGTGGCTCCACCTATGTGCTGCTGGTCCCTGCATGCTACATCATGCTGCTGGTCGTGGCATGCTACATCATGCTGCTGGTCGTGGCACGCTACATCATGCTGCTGGTCGTGGCATGCTACATCATGCTGCTGGTCGTGGCACGCTACATCATGCTGCTGGTCGCTGTACGCTACATCATGCTGCTGGTCGTGGCATGCTACATCATGCTGCTGGTCCCTGTGCTAACGTGGCAGCCGCTGTCGCAGGACCTGCCTCTATGCAGACGACAGATATGCCCTCCCAGAAATGCGGTGACGATTCTCGACGGAAACGTAGTGGTATCGCTGCTGGAAATGGCCATTGTGATGTTCTCGCTGATATCCAGCGGCATGATGTAGCGTGCCACGACCAGCAGCATGATGTAGCGTGCCACGACCAGCAGCATGATGTAGCATGCAGCGACCAGCAGCATGATGTAGCGTACAGGGACCAGCAGCATGATGTAGCGTACAGCGACCAGCAGCATGATGTAGCGTACAGCGACCAGCAGCATGATGTAGCGTGCCACGACCAGCAGCATGATGTAGCGTACAGCGACCAGCAGCATGATGTAGCGTGCCTCGACCAGCAGCATGATGTAGCGTGCCACGACCAGCAGCATGATGTAGCGTGCCACGACCAGCAGCATGATGTAGCGTGCCACGACCAGCAGCATGATGTAGCGTGACGGACTCATGCTGGTCGGAGAGCAGAAAACGAGCAAGCGTTGGTGGTGACAGCTCTGTGCTCACTCTCACACTACCGCCAGCTTTATCACACGTATGAGAAGGACTGTGCTCACTGGCTCGTTCACAAATGCGCGAATTTTGACTGTCGTCATCGAAAAAATCCATGCCGCCGATTTCAAACGAGATATCATTATTAAATGCCGGCTGGACGGTTTCTCCTGCTGGCTGTGTGTCAGGCTGTGACACATGCTGGGTTTTACCCTGTGTGTCAGGCTGTGACACATGCTGGGTCTTACTCTGTGTATCAGGCTGTGACACATGCTGGGTCTTACCCTGTGTGTCAGGCTGTGACACATGCTGGGTCTTACTCTGTGTGTCAAGCTGTGACACATGCTGGGTTGTACTCTGTGTGTCAGGCTGTGACACATGCTGGGTTGTACTCTGTGTGTCAGGCTGTGACACATGCTGGGTCTTACCATGTGTGTCAGGCTGTGACACATGCTGGGTCTTACCCTGTGTGTCAGGCTGTGACACATGCTGGGTCTTACCCTGTGTGTCAGGCTGTGACACATGCTGGGTCGTAAGATGTGTGTCAGGCTGTGACACATGCTGGGTCGTAAGATGTGTGTCAGGCTGTGACACATGCTGGGTCTAAGATGTGTGTCAGGCTGTGACACATGCTGGGTCGTAAGATGTGTGTCAGGCTGTGACACATGCTGGGTCGTAAGATGTGTGTCAGGCTGTGACACATGCTGGGTCTTAGCCTGCGTGTCAGGCTGTGACACATGCTGGGTCTTACCATGTGCAATCCATGACCCCTGCCGACCAACAAGTGGCACGGCATGTGGAGGCACAGTTGGGGCAGTGGATGCAACAAGTGCAAACAACTTGTCTATTTCAGCATCTTCAACTTCGTCTGTTGCCCGATTCCTTCCACCATTTGACCTACTCTGCAACACAGTCTCATGATCACTTCCTTCTACATTTACCCAACTCTCAAACATGGCTTCACTCTCTCCAGCAGTACCCTGGCCCCTTAACCCCGTGTCACGTTCACTCTCCCGCTCCGTCCCCCATGGGGAAGGATGCGACGTGGAGAGAGAGGGCGCCACTGCACTCTCCCGCTCCGTCCCCCATGGGGAAGGATGCGACGTGGAGAGAGGGGGCACCACTGCACTCTCCCGCTCCGTGCCTCACGCGGGAGGATGCGACGTGGAGAGAGAGGGCACCACCGTGCTCGCACCTCAACAGTTGAAGCCAGGGGCGGACCATCAGGAGGGAGATGCATGGAGGGAGGCTGAGGAGTGTTCGTGGGTCGACCCAGCCGCTCACGGACGTGGTGATGACGACAAAGTTGGCTTCTTGCAACGCGTCACTGAAGCCACATCGCAGAACCATCTGGATGCAGAGGGCAGTGAAGATGTGTTGCTGAGGTGGGCAGATGCGGTGGAGAGCGAAGCGATGCTAGAGTCTAGCACGGATGCGGAAGAGAGTAAAGGTGCGTTGCTAAGACGCACCGGTGCGATAGCAACTGAAGCGAAGCTGCAAGTAACTGCAAGAGAGAGTGAAGCTGTGGTACAGAGTCGATTGGATTTTCGAGACCAGGAGGCCATGGCGGAAAGGCGGAAGAAGAATGCGGCCCCCATGGGGAAGGATGCGACGTGGAGAGAGAGGGCGCCACTGCACTCTCCCGCTCCGTCCCCCATGGGGAAGGATGCGACGTGGAGAGAGAGGGCGCCACTGACGGAGCGGGAGAGTGCAGTGGCGCCCTCTCTCCACGTCGCATCCTTCCCCATGGGGGACGGAGCGGGAGAGTGCAGTGGCGCCCTCTCTCTCCACGTCGCATCCTTCCCCATGGGGCACGGAGCGGGAGAGTGCAGTGGCGCCCCCTCTCTCCACGTCGCATCCTTCCCCGTGAGGCACGGAGCGGGAGAGTGCCTCAGACAGCAGGCTTCCCAGCATCTGAGCAATACTGTTGTTGTCCTCAGCAGCCACCACCCCTTCCACCTTTTGCTCTGGACTCCCCACGGACACCGCGACGGGCCGCCCACCAGGAAGCAAACACGGCCGATCGACAACACCGCCGGCAGCTGAACCAGGCGTGGTCCACAAGGACATCATAGCCGCCTGCCCTTGTGCGAAGGATGGCGGCTGTTGTCGGATGACGTCTCCAGAATCACGCGTCGGGCCGGACATGTGCGTGCGCAGAGCAGCAGACGTGTGAGCTGTGTCCGAGTGTTCCACCTTTTGCTGTTTGACGACCCTTGGAGGGATAAACACCTGAAAGTGATTATGTCACCGTAAATAGTAAAAGTAAATCACAAAATTTAAGTAATTCTGTTCACTTTTTATGGTTAAATTGCTGCATTATACTTCCTATTTTACTATATTGTTCGATG